ATAGGGGAAGCTTCTAGCAGCTTCTCACAGAAGCCACCCCTGTAGCCCCCTTGCTACCACAACCTTTCCACATAAACCCAATACGGGGCAGCAACAAAAAAGAAAGATAAAGACAGAAGAGAAGGTGTAAGTGTGAGGTTTTAAAAAAAAAAAAAAGGAATAAAAAGTGGTTATGCAAATACATCTTCTAACATAAGATCTGTTTGTAATTATTCAGGGGGTTATCCAACCTGAATGGATTAACTGAGTACAGTTACGACTGAGTTGTCTACATGCAGCTCAAATCTATCCTAGCCAGTTTTGAGACAGAGCCAATTAGCCCAGCTTGACCTGAGCTTGCCCTGCAATTGACTGACCTCTTTGTTACCCCCGCAATAGGGTATCCTCTGCTTCCTATGTTAATTGGATTTTCCCAATAGCTGTTCCTGATCATGTTTCCTGAATACTGGAAAACTGCTGGTTCTTTTCCTGGAAAACCCCAGCAACCTTTAAAAAAATGGAAGTTTGACTCCGGAGGACCTCAAACTTCAAATTAGAGACTTATATGGTTTTTCAGTCATAAACCAAATTTGTTTGGCAGCAGCAGGTCAGGTTCTGTGTGAAGTCATTTCATCAAGTTAAATTTTTCTTCAGGAAGGAGAAGAAAATTTACAACATTTAAAGGGGAAATTTTAAGATAAAAATTTATGCTAAATTTATGCATCATAAATGATTAGAAAAGATGAAAATACTTTTTACCCTGACTGTAGTAAATGATTTAACTTGTGGCAGGTACTAGGGTGAGAAGAACACCATCATCTACAAAGTCCAGTGCAAAAAAGGTGAAGAAACGGAACCCGTGGTCAGATGATGAATCCAAGTCTGAAAGTGATTTAGAAGAGAATGAGCCCGTGATTATTCCAAGAGACTCTCTGCTTAGGAGAGCTGCAGGTACCCAAGCTTTTGTGAATGGCACATTGTGACTGAAAGTTTAAACTACAAACCTACATATTCCTTTGGCCACAGCCTTGCTCTTGGACTTTATCTCCTACAGATAGCTTACATTACATTTTCTTCACTGAGCAGTTAGTGAAAAAACTCTTAATGTCAAGACCAGCAACTCAAGAGTTGATATGAAGGATTTTGTAACTTGGTCCAGAAATCTTTTCCCTTGTTCTAAACACTAGAATAGAAATTACTTACAAAACTAGTGATTGATGCAAGAAATAGACAAGATAATACCATTACAAACAAAAAAATTACTCTAATGCAATTATACTGTCAAGTAAGGCCCAAAAGCCCAAATGGCTAGCACAAATTTATCAAAAAAATTCTGAACAGTCCGTGAAAAGCAAAAATATCAGAGACTGAAAGTTTGGAAAATATATAAATATTTGATAGTTTAAGAAAAACACACAGATTTTTCTGGAAAAATTTCTGATCAATTTTTCAAGCATTTGATGAAGAAGAATATTTAAATGATAGATTCAAGAAAACCTCAATGGTAAATGAAGGATTCTCATTCCTTAAAAGTACTTACACAGTGATGTCTTTATATTGCTGTTAGCTGAAGGTATCTGAGCAAACCACAAGTGGTGTTAGATGTTTGGTAACACTTTAAATTATGTCCCTTTTTTCTTCCAGGCTCAAGCAAGTTTCTTTTCCCTCAGTTTTGTGTCTTGTATGCTCTGAGGCAGGGATTGTTTAGTGACTTCCACTTTAATGTATGTATTAACATAAACAACTATCTTGAAATGCATATATATGTGATTTTTTTTAGCTGAGAGGCCCAAGTATACTTTTGACTTCTCAGAAGAAGAAGATGATGCCGATGATGATGATGATGCCAACAATAATAATGATTTGGATGAGCTCAAAGTAAAAGCTTCTCCAGTTACAAATGACAGAGAGGATGAGTTTGTTCCCTCAGACAGTTTAGAAAAAGACGAATATGATTTCTCTCCAGCCAAATCAAAGCCATCTCCAGAGTAAGTACTGTAACTCAGCAGTATGTCTTTACTAATAATTTTTTTGAATGCAGAAGTCTCTGAACAAAACTGAGAAACATCAATCTGTCTCTACATGTACCATGTAAAATAAAATTTATACATTTCTGGGGAGGAACTAAAGCGTATGTTATCTCAGCCTTGCAATTGACGTATGCAGAGGTAAACATGACTTACCAAATTATGGTGCACGGCCAGTAAAACCATCCGTTAAACTGCATTTTATAAGACTCTCAGTTTTCTGTCTTGTGCCAGTCTGTTATACAGAACTGTTGAGAAAAAAGTAATTCTGTTAATTTTAAATGCCTGAAGTTCATGACTGAATGGTGATTTTAGGAGTTTGACTACTGCAAGCATATACAAAAATGCTAAAAATGCTAAAACAGGAATTTAATCTTATATGGTTATTATAATGTATACATACTTCAGTATGTAGTTAATGCAACTCATATAATTTCTTTTTCTTGTTTGGAAGTAGAAAAACGTCTCAAGACAAGAAAAATCAAGATTTTGGGAACATCTTCTCTTTTCCATCTTACTCTCAGAAGACAGATGATGGTGAGCTTTTCAGTGATCTATTTAATCTTATAGCAACTGTTATGGAATGCATTAGGGAGTTTGTGTTATACACAAACTTCACACACTAGTTACAGAAGTAGTATGTCCAGATTTATGAAGAGGAAAGGGGAAGGGGGTTCTGATCCTTAAAGGAACAAAGCTTGTGTCATAGATAAGAAAGTCACAGTACATCCATAGCCTAGCTGTAGTATCAGAACCACTTTTTAGAGATTAATTTTGACTATAATTAATATTTAAAATAGGAAGCAAACAAATCTTATTCTAAACATACTCTATGATTGCAGATACAACAAAATTGGACAGTGATGAAGAGGATTCTGCTCCTGTTTTCTCATCATCTTTTGCCCCAAAACAAACAGAGAAAATTCCAAGTAAAACAGTAGCTGCTAAAAAGGGTATGTATAGGATTCTGCTGTAAACTAATCCATTTATTTAAAACTCATCTCATCCGCCTTTGCATTGTCTCTTCACATCTTCAAAGTGGGCACTGCATTCATTTATTTTGAACTTGGTGGAATTCAGCATAGGGTGTGAACTTCTTCCAGCTCCTTAATTATATTAATTTATTTCTTTCCACTGGCTACTGTAGTGTCAAAACTTAGTCCTTTCCATGTACGGAGTTGGTGTTCAGCCTTTGATTAGTTTAACTAATGGGAGGTTTTTACCCTTCGGGAATAACTGAAACATGATGACCTTGGGGTTGAAGATAGTCTTCTATAATGGATCTAACTTATTTACTTTAGAAGGAAGGAGAGCAAGTGCAAAGGAGGAATCCCCAAGAAATATTTATGTCCTAAGTAGGCTATCACAGTAAGTTCCACTTGGCCCAGTTGTTTCTCTTCTTGAAATGGAGGATAAAAGGCTCTCCTCAAACTTCAGAGGTATAAATTCTTTCAATTATTGGTCAGGCCTTTAGAACTGGCATCTTGCAGGATCTTACATCGTGGAATTAAGGACAATTCCAAGAAGAATGTGTTTATTTTTTGGATTTCTTTCTGTGCTTGTGCTTCAGTACTTGTAGGAATAAGGTTTTTTTTGCTCCATCTACCTTGGGAATATTGGTTTATCAGTTGTTAGTTCTACTTTTAAGGGAAAGACGTGTACTTGTTTCTAAATGTGTTTTAAAGATTATGCTAGACACTGCCATAATTAATGGTGAAAATTATGTTTTTTCTTACCTAATAGTACTTTAAGTGGGTTATAAAATACAGTTCTTAAGACATGATGGACTGGGGATTTTGTTGCTTTCAGATCTTTGCCTTTCTTCCTGTATGTCTTTTAGGTAATTTCCTTTTTTCTTGCTGCTCAATCTTCTGTCCTCCAAAAGCATCTTTTTTTCCCTGTGATACTGTGGCCTTTGTTTTTTTCGACTTCTTTTGACCAACTTGCAGCTGAACTTAATGTATTAATTCTTCCCCAAAAAGATATCTCAAGGAAATTTGCAAGAAAACAGCTAGTTACAATAGTTAACTTACTCTCTTAAAAATGAGAAAAAAAAAAGCTTGTGTTATATATCAGGTACTAGTGAATTGCAGCATCTTTTCATGCTTTCCCCCACTGCTTCCCTATTTCTAATCTCTTTCTTGCTGCATTGTGTCTAATCTCATTTGTAAACTGTTTGAATCAGCGAATGTCTGAATGCTTCTCAGACACTTCCAGCTAGTAAAGTTCTATAATACAATAAATGAAGATTGTTTACAGAAATATCTGATCTCTAACAGAATAGTCTTTTACATTAAACTTCTGTACTGCAGTAAATACAAGAGAGAACTGTGTATGCAGTAGCAATTTAACATTCAATCTCTTTCTCCCTCTCTGTTTTTTGAAGGCCTGGATGTGATGAGTTGTACCTAACTTGAAACCTCAAAATACAGCTGTGATCTGTTTCTGAGTTTCTAATCAACCTTTATACTCACACAATAGGTATAAACAGGCTCGCTTTCAAGCAAAAGTTAAATTTTTGCCTTCAGAGTAGCCTTAGGGACACAGTCTACCTCTCAGTGCATGACAATACACCAGGTGGCTTTCACCAGTTTTCATCTCTTCTCCTTTGCCCAGATTAGACATGATCACAGTTTCATGATCACAGTTTGACAGTGCAGTGATGACCTTAACATGCTTAGTTCATTGGTAATCTGGTATCTTGTTAGCAGTCTCTTTGATTCTAATCTTCACGCCCTGTATCAGCAGCCCCTTCAAAACCCATTTTCTAGTATTGTAATATTCCATTCACTCACCCTCACACTGGGAATGTCTATTTTGTGGCTGGAACGATTGTTCCAGAGTTGTTTGATTTTTCTGTGACTTCAGAGCCTGGGTTTGTTTAAGGACAGAAAGCTGAAACTGAAGAACCATTTGTTGTGCCTTGCTATCTGTACAGCCACATTCCCTTCTCAATGAGAAGAAATAAAGGAATAGGTATGAGTTCAGCTTTTTTTCAGATTTCAGTTAATTTGAGATCAAATCTCTTGACCTCTGGTGTTCACTGCAGAGGATCAAGAGACTGCTGAGCTTGCTTTCCATGCACTATTCGAGAAGTCTGTGGTTCTAGTGCTTTATAGTAAGCCTAAGGGAATCTGAAATGCAGTCTTGCTCTTTGATTATAAGCAGCTGCTCACCTTGAATAGCCCAGCCAGCTGTTGAGATTCTAGCAGTGAGACTGTAGGACTGATACCATTCCTGAACTTTCTACCAAAAACTTGGGCTTCTTGAGAGCCTGTGTATACTGACCCCACTGCAGACTTCCATTTCATGTCATGTTACCTAGTGGAGAGCTTGGCTGAGCTGACACTGGTCTAGTTGCTGTCAGAGATCCTTCCCACTTGTGCAGGCATTAGGTATATAATCTAAGGTAGCAGTCCAGAATCCTGCTAGAGTTAGTACAGAGGAAGATGCATGTTCTGGAAGCTGTGGATGCTATTACTTTAGCCACTAGATAACAATTAAGAGATTTGCTGTCCTTTGAACTTGGTGTTCTGCAGGCAGACTTTAACAGGAGTTGACCAGTGATGACAGGCTCTGTTTCAAGGGAAGAACAAATCTAGTGTTTGTGGCAGTGTGTTATACCTCTCTTTCATTCCCCAGTTATTTCCTTCTCCCCAATTCCTTGTTTGTCAGTGAGAAGTCTGCCCCTTTTCTAACATCAGTTAACAAACTCGAAGACTCGGGGCCAGCTGAAGGTAGTTACATCTCATTGTATATGTGCTGGGTAGTACTTGTCAATGGAGCATACTTGGCTTCTGTCTGGTACGCAGATTTCACATTAACAGCATGAGGAACTGTGCTAAGGCACAGTTACCTGGCCAAAACTAGATACAATGCTGTAGAAGGACATCTAAACCTCAGCTCCTGATTTTGAATGTCATCTAGATCTAAAATGGATTCCTTCTACTAAGATTCTGTTGGTCACAGTTTCTGCTTGTCATCTTCAAGTTGATGAAACTTCTGAATCTTTCCCTTCCCTGCGCCCTAGTCTACATTTCTTATGCTGGAAAAGCTGTTTCCTGTATGAAGGACTTTGTTGCCTTATGGGACCTAAAATCATGTACCTTCAGGTAACACTGCCCCCTCCTTTACTGATAACTAGCTACTTACTTTTGGTGATGCTTATAGAAATTATTCCTTCTGCTTTCAGTTGCTGTGTACTTTTTCCAGGCTTACTGGTAGGTCTTTGTGGCTTACTTAGTTTTACTTTATGCTAATACAGCGGTTTTTTCCCAGTTGAGATACCTAGAGAGACCTATCTCAGGTTGCTTTCCAGTATGGTTCCTGACTTCCGTCCTAGGCATTGTTTCTTCCCTCCCCAAGTCTTGTCTGAAAAGCTGCCATAGCCAACACCATTTTTTCCCCATCCATGATGCCAAAGGCGGCTTTATTTTTTGTGTTGTCAGGACCTGAGACTTGGACCTACCCAGTAGCTATTATCACAAAAAGCTGGAAAGGCGTAATTCTTTGTGCAGTGACTCTGCAGTGGGTAGCAGTTTAAGGCATGGTAGCCAAACAGTTTGTGGAGACTCTGTTCTCTGAACACATTCCTCTAAATGAAAGCTTGAGTTCTCACAAATGTCCACATTCCTGGTAGCTGGAGTGTTTTTACATGTGTCTCATCATCTCTGAGGTATTCATGGCTGATAGAGTGTAGGTCAGTAGTGTATCTGAGGGTTCTGCAAAAGACTGACTTGTCTGTAAGCACACAGAACACATTATCCCATGATCTTAAGGGTCTTTTTAGCCTAAATGATTCTTTGATTCTCTCCCTTGTCACCCATTGCGTGAACATACCAATGACTGTCTTTTAAAGATGGCAAGACTAGTTGCGTGGCAGTAATTAAAATTCTTAAAGAGAAATCCACAGATAAGTCCCCTTCCTGTCCTTTCTGCTTTTTCTGAAGTTCCTTTTCACTGAGGTTGACAGAAAACAATGTCACAGTCAGATGCACTGTCTCTCAAACTCCTGCAGTAATCATGGGGAAGGTTCTCCTGGTGCTGTACCACTGTGAAGGCAAAAATGTCACAAGCAGCAAGCTGTATCTGTAATCACTGTAATGTATCCAAATGTCTTTAAAGTATCCAGCTTGGAGAACTTCTGTTGCTGCTTTAGTTACTGGTAACCTGTTTTGTGCTCAAAAAGATGAAAAAGTATTTAATCAAAAACTCTGGAACTTACTGAATACACTGATACATCTCAAAGTATGACAAAGGAAACCTCCTGTTTATTCCACGCAGTTTTTGCATAAAAGCTGAAGTATGTTTTTGCCAAGTGCAGAAACCTCTCATCTTGTTTTAATATCTCATTTTAATATCTGCCATTTATGCTGTAATTGGAGTATCTAATAAAATTTAATACTTCTAACCAATATGTGAATTTTAACATATTTAGTATCTCTAACTTCTAACAGCAAAACTAGATGTGCCCCCTAAACCTAAAAGAGCTCCTAAGGCCAGGAAGGTGGAAACTGTAAACTCTGACTCAGATTCAGAATTTGGCATTCCAAAGAAGACTGCAGCACCCAAAGGTAAGAGTGGTAGTGCTGTGCTGCTCAACACTCAGGTCTGTGCTTTCTGTAACACAGGTTGACAATCTTTTTTATGAGGAAGCAGAACTAGTGTCTCTAAAATTAGAACCACATTGATTTATTAGTAAATTTATCACTAGTAGATTACTCGGCCATGAGCCTTTTCTGTGACAAATATAGTGTACTGACTGACTTTCTTGACAAACAATGCACGAACTTTTTTATCTGACCTTCACTGTTGGGAATGTATTTAATAGCTCCAGACCCCCCCCCTGCTTTTTTTTTGTTTATCAGTTCTACTGGATACTGCTTATTTTCTTTCATCTCAGTTTTTTACAAGACAGTAAAATTCTGGTAGTAATTCTAGTAAGTAGCATATTTCTGGTGTGTGGGGTTTTTTTGGGGGTTTTTTTTTTTTAACCAATTCTTTGGTATCTCAGTTAGTTGTCAGAGTCCTCACAACACAGCACACTAAGCGGTCTAATTGGAGTCTGTAAAGGATGTGCCAGTGTTGATAGTTGACGTTAACAGTAAATTTACTAAATAGTAAAGGTGAATTAGTGCTGTGGAATCAGTACAGAAGGTGACTGAGGACTTGCAGTGCTTCAGAAGTCTAGAAGTCATTGATCTAATGAAGTTTGTTCCTGTCTTGAACCAACAGCTTGACTTGCTAGTGTGAATGGTAATGTTGGAAGAAGTATAAAAGATTTAAAACTGAGAAAATATATTGTATTTTACTGCTGTCGTGAAGAAGCTTGAGTTGTAAACTAAATTTGAACTTTAACATGTAGATATACTAAAGTAATTTCACCGGGGTTTTTTTCAGTTTGTTGAACTCTGGAGTTTAAAAAAAAAAAAACACCACAAAAACAAAAAAAACAAAGTTAAATCATGTTTTCTCACCTAGGAAAAGGTAGAGGGGCAAAGAAAAGGAAAGCATCCAGTTCAGAAAATGAAGGTGAATACAACCCTGGGAAGAAAACACTTAAGGCAACACCAAGCAAGGTCAGTTCCATCTATGCTCTTCTCTCCTTGTAAAAAGAACCTAAGGGACTACTTTACATAACAGGTGCATGTTCTATGGTAGGTTGCCAATACGATAATGGGGGTTTAGGTGTATTTAGAAATTAGATATTAGAGAACATTTCCTTCAATTCTGAATATTAAAAGGGAAAACGTACACAGCATCACAACTGATTTGTCTTTTCTTTTCTAAAGAAATCCAAGAAGGCCGCTTTTGACCAGGATTCCGATGTGGAAATCTTTCAGTCAGGCTTTGCCTCTGAAGCCGCCCCAAAGCCACGGACAGGCCGGGCTAGAAAAGAAGTTAAATATTTTGCAGAGTCTGATGAAGATGATGATTTTGATATGTTTAATTAAGTGCCCAAAGAGCACACAAATGTTTTCCAACAAATATCTTGTGTTGTCCTTTTGTCCCTTCTGTCGCAAACTTTTGTACATTTGACTTATTTTATGTGATAATGTAATTGATGGTTTTTATTATTGTGTGTAGGCATTTTAACATTTTGTTCTTACACCTACAGTTTTATGCTCTTTTTTACTCATTGAAATGTCATGTATTTGTCTGACTGGCTTGTAGAGATGTTCTAGACAGCTGTGCTAAAGCACATTTTAATTGTCATGGTTGCAAACAGCAAACCTGCTTTTTGAAATGAAGTTTAAACATTAAAAAATGGAAAACTACCGTGTGTGTGTAAAATTGGGACTAGAGGGACTACTTATACACAGTTGGGTTTTTTTTTTAAAATAAATATATTTTATTCTTTGCCAGGAGACTCCATGGAAAAAGGTAAACAGTATATGAACATAGAAAGCATTGTTAAACAATCTCAATGTACAAACAGAGCCAGTGAAAGTACATCACAGACTTGCTAGAATATATAAAAAAAAAAAAATCCACTAGTGCTTTAAATGAAACCTAAGAAACTGACACTTTAAATCTGTTAACCATTCTACCACAGTTTTCACTCTGCTTCATGGTGATTTAACAAGGCCAAGAAGGCAGATTCTCTCCTTGTGTTTCCGGAAGTCCTAGCTGTACTTCCCTAGCACCTGGAAGGCTGGCTAACCCAGCTAATTCCTGGTGGCTGATTCTTAAGGAAATACCCTAGACTCACCCATTCAAAAGCTGTAAATGAGTCTGCTGGTTATCACCCCATCAAGTTTCCCTAATGGCTTGTGAACAAGTAAACAAAAACATGGTAACACTGAAAAGCGTTTCTGCCTTGGAGGCTATCAATCAGGACTGGAGAAATGTAGTAGTTAATTGTGTAGCTAGGTCACTGCCAGGTAAGGAACCACTTCTTTAAATTTTAAAGTGACATTAACAGTGGAACAAATGACATCGGAATAACTGAGCTGCCAGTTGATGCCGATACTGATGTCTTGTCTGCTAGCGCAGTGAATTTTTGTATACTTTTTACAAGGAAGGAGATGCAAACTGAGGGCATCAAAGACAAGTTTTCGTATTAAACTAAATCAGACGGTCCTTTAAACTTCCTTTTCTGGATGTGTACAGTAGTCCATTTCAGGTGGGTGGTGTGTTGATCGGTTTAGGTATGACAGACAAAAGGAAAGCACCAAACATCCAGTATAGAAAGTACAGCCATACATTTGTATGTACAAAGTCATCAGAAATGCAACCCGAATTTGAAGTTTGAGATCTGTCTTGTCACCATGCGATCTTGAATGTTCAGAGGAGAAAACAGAAGCTTAACTATTTTTTTGCATGAAATGGCTGATTTAGAGTTTCAAAAGTTTGCATTTTCTAGTTTAAGAGTTTAAACAGCAAGGAGTATATATCGATACATATGAAAATTTCTTGGTCCTTGTTGAGTTTTTATCTATATATATATACACATATATAGATATATATTAAGTCCAGAAACTAAGCAGCAGTAAAAATGTTTTTCTTGCTTTTCATCCCTGTACATAAGGTATTAGGAATGTCTGAAGTAGCTGGAAAATGTCTTATTGCACCATAGGGGATTGGCTGACACTGCTGTTATCCACTGAACTAGGTGAGATACTAGGACTGTGTTCGGCAGTATTTCCATTTGAGGTTGGTGTCAGTGGTTCATGTCCTTCAGAGTTCTCCAACATTTCCTGAATAAGAGGTGGCATGGATCCAGGAATCTCCATTTTCAATGTAATGACGCGTTCTGCACCTTTAAAAAGAAAACAAAAAGCCCTTTCCGTTAGTGGGATTCGTACAATTCCCGTGTTGTTAGCATCGTCAGTAGTCATTTCAGGGTACGTTATTTTAAAGCATTTGGTGTCTCCTTCCGTACTTCTTGCATACAAATTTTCTAAGTGAACTACTTTGTTCATTGCAAGAAAAAGGAGTTAGATGAATACTCCTTAGCAAATTCATTTAAAATTATGACATCCCAACTGATGCTACAGTACAGGTAAATTGGATGAACTGCTTCTTTTCATAGAAGGAACCAAAACGGTATTAACCAATACTGAAAAAGTAAATTCAACTGTGATCATGTAGATGCCTGTCTTTATAAATTGGAATACACTTTACAGTTTTTAATCTGTACTGGATCTGCAAAGACTACAGAATGACAAAAATTCTGCCTGATTTGTGTTAACTAGGTGAGGCGAATCCTGTAAGAGAACTGCAGCGATGTAAGTCAGAACATTCCTTCCCATAGAAAACTCTGAAATAAGAATCAGAATTTAACAAACCATTGGTTCATAAAAGAACAAATTCAGGCAAATGGATATTGTTTTTGTGAAGCTGCGTCCTCTAGTTTTCAGGTGTCTTCTCTTGTGCTAATTAACCACAGGAGTACACAGAAACACTAATGCTGTTTACCTCTGATTTACTGAAGCTGTTAAAGGTTTCTGCACTGTCAAGGGGTATTTTTATATAGAGACAGCTTTGCAGGCTAGCATGCGTAGAATCAAACAAAATTTACTACACCAATCCTGACTGTTCAGCCTGTGAGCCAACAACTAATACTAGTTTAGAGGAAAAAAACCCAAAGCCACACAATAGTGCCTGATGCTCCTAAGATGTGTTAAGGCTGCTTGAACATGGCAGGCGCAGAGGAGAGGCCGTATGAACAGGCAGACGCCTCACGGTTCACTCATGACACGCACACGACATCAGCTGGGTGCTCCCAGGAAGCACTGCGTGAGCGGAAGCCTGCGTTTGTAAAGCGGCCAAGACCCTGCCGGGCGCTTAACTCTGGAGGGAACTGCTTAGCGATTAGTGCGTTCCTGCAAACGCAGGAATCCTTGAAATGCTGGACAGACAAAACTGCTCAGTGAAAAGAAAGGCTCTTACTGGGGAAAGCCTGAGCTGTAGCGCAGCGCCGGTCACTGCTCCTGTTGCTACAGCGAGAGGCGAGCAGTGCCCAGAAAGCCCTAACCCAGTCAGCAGTAACACCAACGCAGCCGAAGTGAGTACACCGGTCTGCCGTGAACAAGTGATACAGCTGGAGGACTGAAAGTAAGTTCATAAACGTGCAGCTACTGAGTGGTGAGGACCATAAAGAGACGGGAGTATTTCGGAATTACACCTCCAATAAAGTGAGGCTATACAGTAAAAGATTCTGTTCCACACTGAGGCATGAATGTGCTTTACATATTTTGCTGCTGATGAGAGTAAGATTTTTTCTTGTCAGGACAATGACGTCAGACAATTTATAGCCGTAAAGCTCCAAGTTCAAATATTTGGTCTAACATTGCATAGATGCCTGCTCATCTGAAAAATTTGAGTCTAACGGAATAGGAATCTGGGCTTTTTACAAACGAAGGCAGGCAAGGAAAGTCAACAAAATTAAAGAGAAAAATAGTCTCATTATCAAAGAAATATTCCAGAGGCGAGAACCTTTGGATATATTTTGCTTATTTGTGCTGCTGCAACGTCCATGCTGGGGAGAGCACGCTGTCAGTCACAGCGGTGACCCCAGAGTGGAAGGGAGCCCTATGTTCATGCCTTAACTGGGGAGCTTCAAAAATCATCTACACCGGCCACGACCAACTTTCCAAGTGAATGCTGATTAAAAAGTCTCTTAAATAATTGTTAGGCACAAAGGGCAAGAACTACAGTTGGAAAAAAAAAAAAATTAATGCAGAATTATGCTGAAGAACCTTTATAGTCAGAGCAGCGCTGATGAACTGCTTTCGGCCACGTGAAATACCCGCTTTCTGCCGTTGCGGAGTAAGGCCGGTTGCAGTACCAAGTGTTTGCGTGGTTGTTCCGGTGTAGAGCCGCAGTAACTTTTCAGGTCTTGCAAACTTCCAATCCAATACTGGGATAAGAGAACCCAGAAGACGGTCTCTTGCTGCGGTCCCACGACCGCTTACTGCTGCTGTTACAATACTGCTAATGCCACGGAAGAATGTAGCTGGATAAGGAACTCCAGCGTAAGGAGACATTCTCAGTCTTTTTCAGTTCATGCTTACTTTGGTAAGTGCTTTCAGGGATCACGTGCCACCAAGGGTCATTAGCTTCTAATGTGCATCTTTTCAAATGAAACTTGAGACACACCCACCCCTCCAGGACATCACCGGTCCTTTGGTATGATTTAGTTTTACAGTAAAACTAAACTATGAACTATTTAATGCTATAATTAAAGTTAAATACTTATGTCAGAATGGAAAGAGGAATCCTTTCCTGTGCATTGAACATAAAGAGACAGAGCGGTGTTCCTGAGGAGCTGGAGGGCCCGGCAAAGAAGCGGGGAAGCGGAAATAGATTTCCCACAAGCAAGAACTGCAGAACGAAAGGGCTCTCCTTACAGATTTTTATAGCTCAGTACTGCTGTAAGTTTATTTTGTAGATTCAGTTGGATGGAGCATGCTTTACTTGGGGGCAAGCTTTAGAGAACCTGGTAAATGGCTCCTTTTTAGGATACTTTTGCTTCCAGCTCTGGTGTTTCCCTTCTAAGTTATCCTTTTGGTACTAATCAATCCAATTAAACTGCTCACTTCTTTTTATAAACATAGCTATAGCTTAATCTTTTACCTTGTATATTGTTTAAAGCGTAACAGTTTAGGTTTTAATGTAAAACAAGTGTATTTCTTTGAGTGATTTAACTGCTATTTTTTTCCCCTGAAGTCTTCTCAAAAACCACGTCAAATGAAATTAGTAATTTTTTCAAAAGCATAAACCCAATCCATAGCTACATAGGCACCTGTACATACAAGCTCGTGTGCTTGCGTATCTATCAGGGGTAGCAAATCTGTAGTTAAGCACAGTAAGAAAGTGGAACTGCATCAACCACTGTAAAAAATATGAACTGTAGCATTTCGGACTCTCTGTATTAAGGCTGGTACATCTCTGATACAGCTCCCCAGAAGCCTGGAGGTGAATGAAACAGCTGGACGTGTCAGAAATTGGGTCTTGGGGAGATAGAGGGGTACGCAAACGCCAGGAGCACAGTCATAGAATCATAGAATCGTTTAGGTTGGAAAATACCTTTAAGATCATCCCCCCCAACCATTAACCTAACACTACCAAGTCCACCACTAAACCAATTAAGGGCAGAGTAGCCATTTCGTGGTTCCTGGCTTGGTGGCTGGATTATTTTTAAGGAAAGTAAAAACTAGGAATCATTAAGACTGGAAAGGATCTCTAACCTTCCATCCAACCATCTCTAACCTTCCGTCCAACCATCTCCCCGACGCCCCCATGCCTACTAAACGGCCTCCGAAGCCGCGGCGCAGGGCAGAAGAGGCGCGCACAGAGGCTGCCAACGAGCTGAGGCACCGCTGACCGGCCGCTGCTGCTCTGACAACAGCAGCCCGGCCTCCCCCCTCGCTCAGGCCGTACCCCTCGAGGGGCAAAGCACTGAGCGGGGAACCTCTCCGATGAGATGAAAGCATTCAGCCATACCCGTGCTTTAGAGAATTTACGTGATAGCGCTCAGACTGCGTGCTTTTCACATGATCAATCAATCACATACAAGATTACACAAAATGTTAAACCAAAACTGATCCGTGTGCAAGCATGGTTAGTTTGGATTAGAGGTGCTGATTCTCCCAAATCCTGGATCAAATCGGTTCTAAATCTTCAGTACATCAGACCACAGTTTCGGGGAATTTTGGATGCACAAGTGTTTTCTGCTGTCTGTAAACAGACTTTGTTTTTTTGAAAGCCATTAGTGATACAAAGTACATGTTGACCCGTACCCCCTTGTAAACATTAACAAAGGTTTAATTCAGGGGTTTATCTTGTCTTAAAAAGACTAACAAAGAGTTCATGCTAATGATTTGCTAACCTACTTATACCCAAGACTTCATTTTCACTGCAAATTGCATGAAGAATGTAGCACCACGTGTGTTTAAAGCAGAACCAATTTAAACACGGGAGTTACATAAAGAAGAAGGGAAGAGGAAGGTCACAAGGACCTTTCTTAGCTATATTAAAAAAATAACAAGCCGGGTCTCTAGGCCGGTTTCCTCTGAAGCGTAACACTGACACTGTTGCTGAATTATTGGGAGACACTGTACCTTTTGCACTGATGCTACGAAGATCTGTGATTTTCATTAAGATCTTTGGGAACATATGAGGCTTGTTGGGTCGTCTCTTTCGGATATAAATTTTCAGTGCTTCAAGCAATGGTTCCTGAAGCTTATCCACTTTCATTGGTTCTTCAAGATCCTGGCGATCTGTAGAAAAGTATCATATTGCTCATATGATTTTAATTTTTTTTTTTTTTTACAAACTCCAAATCACAGAAGCTCCTCCATGTTCTTGCTTAGAACTCCCATGAATTTCACCTTTCTCTCCACTTATGACCCCCACTTTATAGTGAGTATTCCACAGGAACAGGATAAACCATGGCTTTCTGAAACTTAGATTCATTTTCCTTCAGTGACTGGAAAGGTTTGTTATTTGAGCGGTCCAGAATTATCAGTTTGCTCTTGTACCTCCCTCTCCAGGGGAAAACACTTTACTGCAAACAGTATTTCAGAATTAATTTTGTATGCGTCATTGATAAGCTACCTACGTATACGAAGAGATTATAGCTAATTTCTTTTTTGTATCAATACTAAAACGAAGTGAGTTACCATCAGGTATCAGCAGATGGCAGTGCTAGCTTGAGTGACAACAAATGTCACCCATAAACCTGGAGGCACCAGTCACATATTAATGACATCTCAGAACCCATCAATGCTTTTGATGGGTTATGGTTAGAGACACATAAAATCGGAATGATTTTGTACTAAAGAGCTGTTGTCGACAAAGAACAACTCTTGTTTTTTAAACATTCTTTAGTAGCACCCAGTTTGTATTTCAACAAAATGGCTCAACTAAACAAAGTGTGTTTCCATTGCTAGTCCAGATTTTGCAAAGGAGGAGAGAGACTAGGTGGTTCAAATAACAGAAATTTAGAGAGGATTTTGGAAATTATCTCAAACTTGGCTTTTTGATTTTAAAACCATGATTTTATCTGATTTTACTTGGCAATGTCCCTTTCAAGTTGTAATCAGCCGCCCCCCAATCACGTCACCAGTGCCACTACGCTAATTTCAAAGTATAATCTATTTTTTTTTTTCCTAAAGAAAGTTATCAGCAATGACTTCTGTGTGAATGTAACTATATGCATGCGCATGCAATTACATGGATGAGTAAAAGCTGCGTAACGGCCATCTTGCCATAACGAAGGTCATTCATACAGGTACCCATATACTGCTTATAAAAAAATGCAGCAGGATATATCCTGCAGTCCTTTATCATGCAAATAATAGGATCGGTTGCTTGACAGAATGATTTGATTCATTTAGAAATGTATCAATAATAAACCCAATAACTATCACCAGTGGCAACCAAACCTTTAGTGTTAAGGGGTTTATATAACATATATAATAACACTACATAGATATATTTTATAGAAAATATAAACTAAAACAAGTAAAACATAAATGAGGATCTTATCGTGTCTGTCTTTTTCAAATGCACCCGAGTTCATGCTGTACGATACCTCCACAGATTAAGCAGATGGCACTAAGGAGACCTGTTTCTGTATCATCCATTTCCAAAGGCAGGAGCTGGTTGGCAAACGTGAAGACGAGATCAGTCAGCGGGCCAAATCCAGCGTTGTGCATCTGAGTTCGGTTTAGGGTAAGGCCATCTGAAAAGGTCATGGTGTCTTGTTCTGGTGTGTATCTTGTGCAAATTCTAAGGATCTGGGGAAGGACAAAAAAAAAAAAAAGAAATGAGATCTGAAGAATTCAATCCATGAGAGGTTTCTTGCATTTTCTCAATGCGGCAAATGACCCACGGAACCGCAGTACATGGTCATGTCAAAACAATCCAAAAATCAGCCTCCGGTCTGTTCAGTTCTAGCAGCACAAAAATTCTCTGGTACAACACAAATGTACTGAATTGACTATGGGTATTTTTCAGAACAGAAATTTAAGAACAGAAATTTTCCCCTCCTAATTTTCAGTTATGAAATAATCAAAACTTCTATGCAATTCCCACCACTTAGGTCACCACCATTACCGTAAGATTCACATAAAACGCTCTTTAATTAGCATGCTCTACGCACCTAACTATAAAATGCTATTGCACTGCTGATCTGATCCAGCAAGATCATAAAGATATCTCACCTCTTCAAACGTACACGTCGTTCACTGATTTTGGGGATCAGTTTTGCATGACAGCGCTTCTCCGGGTTGCGCCTTCGGTGAGGACAAAGGCGTCTCCGCGGGACCTCGTGTGAGCGAGCCCGCACAGCTGTGAGTCGGTGAAAGAGGCGGAAGGTAACCTGCGCTTTGAGGTGCCTTCCTTTCTTCCGCGACAGCGCATCAGCAAACGCCGCTACGTGAGCGCAAGCCCCGTGCGAGCGTTCCCTGGAGAGCAGCGCAAAGCCCTCCGTGTCCCGCGCAGCTGCAGGCTCCGCGGAGCCCTGCTTGCCTTGCCAGCCTGGGAGCTCGCACCTGAGGGGATTATCAAACTTCGAACCTCCCTCCGCACAGCAGCGCGCGGGGCTGCTGGCAGCCCGAGGAGCTGACCCAGCTTTTCTTCTTTTATGGTTGTTGTTGTTACTTGCCATGTCCCGTAACACTGAACTCCCTCGCCAGCCGGCTGGCCTCCAGGCTTCCCTGAGGCTCTGCCGCTTTCCCCGATCCCGATCCCGGGGATCCCCTGCTGCAAAGCCCATCTTCCCGCGGCTGACCGCGTCGCTCGCTCCTGCGCGAGCCCAGGCAGTGTTGGTTTTGGCAAGTTAACTTGTGTGACGACAGCCACCCCGTGCTGACCCCAGATGAAAGAGCCTTCCGAGGGCAGGATGGGGATTCACACCTCTAACTGGAGACGGAGGAACGCAAAACGCACGAATAAAACGCCGAGGATGCTCTGCGTTTTGTCAGTACGTGCCTCTGGGGTAACGGCAGCGTCAAGGGCGCTGTCACAGCAGAGTGCAGCGGCAGCACGGCCGGAGAGAGCGAGCGTGCGAACGCTTTCGCCTCTCAGAGCAAACCCAGGACGTGTCCCGTGGTAGACTCCGCACGGCACGGGCTCATTTGCACAGCTGCTATTAATGAACACTGCCTGAAGGATCAAATAAAAGAGATGTCCACCACGTTGACATATTTCTGTTACATATACCAATGCTTAATGTTTAAAATAATCAGAGGTGGGAGAAGGCTTATCCCTAAACTAAACTAAACTAAACTAAAACCTTGCAGAAGTCCAGCTGATTAGCTGAGCTAAGACGACAGCCGTATTTTTTCTGGGCTTGACCGTATTTATTTCCCATACAGCCATCCTACTTTGTTTTAAAGATGTAACAAAAAAGATTTACATTAGTGTAAGTGAGCACAGGGCGAATTTTAATTATTCCTATAGCTGCCGAAGCTCTGAGTCAGAGGCCCCAGCGCTTGGCAGCTGACCAGCCTGGGCTTGGTTCTCCCACTTTCATCTTTCCCTGGCAACGCTGCTCCAGATAAGCAGGGAGGAGAACGAGGAGGACATGGCACGTAGGAGACCTACAGGGAAGCCTTTACTTCTCTTAAATCCCTTGGTACGAGACTTAATAGGGTGTATTTCTGCAGAAGCTATTTTCTATCTGAGCAATAATCTTATCTCACACTGTGGTATACATCGAAGCACAGAGACTCTATGTGGCTGGACAGGCACGTTTCACATCGTTCCCCTACCCCCGAATTAGAATAAGCTCTTGAAATTACTTGAATCAATGACAAAGAGAGGCACAAATACAAATGCATAGCACTCGAATTCTTCACTGACCGCAAATTCCCCACTAATATAAGCGATCTTACAAGGCTGCTGGTAACTCCAAAGGTTTTGTGTAATAGCCAAAGTGTATTTCAGGATTATTAGCAGAAATTGCTGTCATAAAGCATGGCACCCTGTCAGTAAAAGACAGCGTGTTTACCATATTCTGTGCTGCCAGTAACCACCGGCACTTCTCTCTCCTAGAGTTCGCTGTCGGTTATCCTTTTAAATCATTAAAAGGATTGTATAGAGAGGAGAAGAAACATGCAGAGTTTGCTGTTTTCAAGAAAAGCAAGGTTTGAAAATATTTATTGAGAAACCCAAGACCTACTTGGTTTACTCCTCTAATGGCATGCAAGAGAAACCTGGGGCGCAGCTCTTCCCGGCTGAAGCCGGCACGCAGAGCAGCTGCCTTCCAGTAAGGGTGCGTGGCTTGTGATGGTGGGGCGTCCAACTTTTGGAGGAACACGGCTCTGCACTTCTTAAGCGGTACTGATTCTCCCTTAACTCAGCTGGGGAGAAAGGCAGCCCCTTTTATTCCGCTGCTATTTTAATTGCTAAGCCTTAGCAAGGAGAGTGCCTCCCTCCACACCCTCAGGACTTCCAGCCCAACAAATTAGCGGAGCAGGACTTGGAGCTAAACTGGGCAACGTCACGGTGTTTCCCAAAGGCTGCCTGCAGCCTCCCTGGCAGCTGCCCAAGCAGGGGCGGCAGATACGGTTCCTCCGTATCCTGCCTCCGAAGGCAAGCCTGGAGAGCGGCTGCCAGCGCCGTACCGCCCAGAGGCTCCTGGCCCAGAGGGACCGGGGCGTCCCGGCGTGGTTATCCCAAACAATCCGTGCGCCTCCCGCCATATGACCGGCTGCTGGATCCCTCGCTGCGAAGCTCTCCGTGCTCGCCCTCCGGTGCCGTAAGCCCCACTCCGTTTGAGGGTGCATGCTGGGGGTGCTCAGCAAAGACCTACCAGATCCACCGCCCCCCCAGGCCTAACGCAGAGGAAGGCTTCCAGGCTGGATCCTCATCGGGAATGAATTTGGGGTTGGGTTGCTCAGTCTAGAGCCCCTGTGGGCATGAACAGAAAGAGACTTCCAGGGGCCTTGCAAAATTTGGAATTAAAACATCAAGGTCCTGTGGAATTTAGCCACTTCCAGGCTTCGGCAGCAAGCAGGACGGCTTTTTGCAAAAGGCAAACTTGAGGCTTTCGTACCTAAACGAAAAGCCTTTGGGAACTGGGGTTGTTTAGCCTGGAGAAGAGGAGGCTGAGGGGAGACCTTATCACTCTCTACAACTACCTGAAAGGAGGTTGTAGTGAGGTGGGTGTTGGTCTCTTCTCCCAAGTAGTTAGTGATAGGACGAGAGGAAATGGGCTTAAGCTGCGCCAGGGAAGGTTTAGGTTGGAAATTAGGAAAAATTTCTTTACAGAAAGAGTGGTCAAGAATTGGAACAGGCTGCCCAGAGAGGTGGTGGAGTCACCATCCCTGGAAGTGTTCAAAAAACGGGTAGATGTGGCACTTTGGGACATGGTTTAGTCTATTCTACCCTTGATTGGCTTAGAGTAGACTTGGTAGTGTAGGTTAATGGTTGGACTGGATGATCTTAAAGGTCTTTTCCAACCTAAATGATTCTATGATTCTAAACGCTGCGCCAGCCGTTAACTGGAGGAGCCTGCAGTGGCTCTGCTGGGGCACTGGCACAGCTGAAGCTCAGCTCTGTGTTCTCTGCAATGCACTTAGCTTGACTGCGGCAATCGGGTCTCAGGTTTCTCCTGCATTCCTTCGACATTATCCCACAACACACTGTTATTAAACTCCGAGACAGATCATTTGAAATGTTGGGGTTGTTTTTTTTTCTTTTTTTTTCCAATTTGTGTCCTTCATCAAGATCTGCAAAACGCCATGGATATTGCTAAACCTTTCTCGGGCAAACTTCCAGTGTCAAAGTGAAGCTGATTTCAAGCTCATATTCACTGAAGAACATATGGGAAATGTCAGCACTTCAAAATAAGAAATCACGGTATCTTTCTCCATTTTAAACTGAACTGCTGTCTAGAAGACATCCTCCTAATGTCCTCAGTGTTGTTTAGATTTTGTAACCAAGCCAAGTATTTTAGTTGTCACTATGCTCTTAAATGCCACTTGCAGCCATAAATAAGGTTTTTGCCCGTGATTAAAGGACCCTTTGTTTTAAGGAATATTTATATCTTAAAGTGGCTGGGGTTCCTACGAGCCAGTTACAAATCGCAAAGCAAAAACCCTGCGGGTCACACAAAACCAAAACCATCCAGAAAGTTGCATTTACGAAATTGTTGCTACCATGGAATTGTTACTCATGTTAAACAGATTTGTTAAGGCAAGCTGGGCTTTTTTTAAGAAACGCTGCTGTTAGATGCGAGCTGCCTTAGCCAGCTGGGACAGCTTCCCGAGAGGAGAAACCCAAGCAGGTGACCGAAACAAAGAGCAAGCCTCCGTGGCGCTGCCATACCCCATCAGCACGGGTCACTCCGCGCACACCAAAGCCCTCCTAGCACTAACGTGCAGGGTTTTACAACAGAAAGCAAAAACGACGTTACGTTCAAGGACTTCTCAGGTTTTTATCCATCGGATTTAAGACAGGCAGGACTCTGGGCTCTTTCCACACTCATTTTGCCAGAGCTCGGCAAGGCTGGGGATGCTCGACCGCTGCCAGGCCAGCGTACCAGCAGACGGAAGCACTTGCTTTTACGAGGGTTACTGACGGAATTTTAGTAGTATTTATCCCTGAAACTTTTGGCACCAGAGCAGATATAAATTCCACCATCCTCGATTGGCGCCTTCAGCTGCCTTCTGAGGCTTGATGTTATTTCCCTTCCAGAGATTTTGTTTTTATATAAAACAATTCTCTGGCCCATACCCAGCAGAGTTTACGGAGCTCCTGGCACCATTTCTTTTGTCAGCCTGTCGGGGGGTTTAAGCATCCTCGGCCACCGGAACCAACCGAGCAGAGCCCTTGACGGGGTCTATAAATACTTAAGACTCCCCGTAGCCCAGAGACGGCACTGCTGGGTG